TCCCAACTTGAAACTCTGCTCATTAAATAAGACAACATTATAATTACTTCTTATCATGTCTATCTCCCATACTAAAAAGAATAATTGCTTTATTAATATTTAAGTTTTATTATTATATATTTTGATCCCAAGTAGTGAACATACAACCTGATTAACAGAATATGCCCATCAAATGTTTGCTGAATTGAAATATTATGATCAAAATCACATATCAGATCATTACATCAAGTTATATCAGACTAGAGGCCCGGTGCACGAAATTTGTGCATAGGAAGAGGGGTCCCCTCAGCCCAGCCTGCCCCCTCTCCAATCCGGGACCCCTTGGGGGACATCTGACTGGGGTTTGAAGCCTGATCCTAAACCAGCCAAAACCAGCAATTGGACATCCCTCTAACAATCCAGGACCACTGGTTCCTAACAGTTCACTTGCCTGCCAGCCTGATCACCTCTAACTGCCTCTGCCTGCAAGCCTGATTGCCCTAACTGCCCCCCTGCACGGGCCTGGTTGCCTCCAACTGCCTTTTGCCAGCCTGGTCACCCCAAGCAGACTGCTATTCATTTGTTTAGTTGTCCCTTGCTAACCCCCCTGCTGGCCTTGTCACCCCATGCAGCCTGCTGTTCAGTTGTTACTGTGAGAGCATTGTGACCAATTTGCATATTACCCTTTTATTAGTATAGATTATATCAACTCTCCAGTTCTAACCTAACACTTAACCACCACACACACACACACACACACACACACACACACACACACACCACATCCTTTTAGTAATATTCCTTTTACAAAATAAAAACAAATAAAATCAAAACTATATCTTCAGTGCTTTCTCATTTTATAAAATATGAATTCCAAATTCTGATCATGTCATTCAGGCTCTCTAAAAATCTGAGTTCTATCAGTCTCTCCACCCTCCCATCTACATATTTTCACAACTTAATTCTTACTAACATATTATGCATAATTATAGAAGCAACCAATTTCAGGTTCTCTTAATCATACTGGCTGCTCAGCCTCAAATGTTTTCTATCACTTTTGAAGCTAAATCTTAGACTTTCTTGATAGGTGAGACTTGTCTAATCAGAATAAATATGCTTCTCCTCTCTGCTCTTCTGGACTTCTAGCTTTGCACTAAATTACATTTTACCAATGTGTTTATATTGCACTTGAGAGCAAATTACATGCAAATTTGCATATTTTTTACTTATTTTAATTTTTCCTACTTTTTGTCTGTCAGAGACTCAATGATTTTCTGCATATGGTAGTTGCTCAATAATTATATTTTGAAGAAAAAAATCTTACTAATTTGATGTACATGATCAATGCATTGGTGTTTATTGAGCATGCTTAAAGTTATTAAAACTCTCTACTAAGGAAATAGCTAAGGAACAATGTGAAAACACTGGTTACCACACATTCTATACAATGAAATTTGACAAATATATATTGATCACAAGGGTCATATCATTGTACTGAGTGAAACAAATAAAAATGAGCAACATGCAGTCCATTTTCTCAGGGAACTAACAACCTGACTTATTCAGGCATATAATTAACCCTAATGCTTGGTGAGCAGTCATAGTAAGTGCTGAAGCAATAGCTTTAGCAATTTAAATTAAGGAGCAAAGGCTGCTGGCAAGAAACCATAAAATATTTCATCAAAATTGTGATGATGTCTGAACTTGAGTTTCAATGGGGAACTATAATTTCAGTGGGTGAATTAGAGTTGTGGAGGCATTCCAAGAGAGACATTAGCATAAGATTTAGAGGAAGCAAAATTGTGGGCTGCTTTCAGAAACAATGAATACAATGATTGAACAAGACCTTAGTAGAGGCAGTAAGGATAGTGGAAGTTAGAGCTGGATTTAAAGGTTAGGGCCATTGAAAAGGTGCTTGATGGTATATTAAAGGTCTATGTAATACATATCATTATATATTAATATAGTACACTATATACTTATGTTATTAATATATTAATATAGCACACATATGAAAGTATATATTATATATTGAAATATGTTATAAAATAATCATTATGATTGGATTTTGCTTAATAGGTTTAACTGTGAAGAATTATAGGGGATGAGCAGCAGAAATCCTATATAATCAAAGGCTAATATGCAAATTGACCAAATGGAGGAACAGATCATTATGACGTGCACTGACCACCAGGGGGCAAATGCTCAACACAGGAGCTTCCTCCTGGTGGTCAGTGTGCTCCCACAGTTGGAGCTCTGCTCAGCCAGAAGCTGACTCACACCTAGCAAGCACAGCGGTGATGGTAGGAATCTTTCCTGCCTCCAAAAAGATGCTAAGAAGCAGTGAGCAGTGAGAAGTCAGGGGTCCCGGACTGTGAGAGGAATGTCTGACTACCTAATCAGGACACAGATATACCCTAAGGGGTCCTGGCCTGTGAGAGGGTGCAGGCTAGGTTGAGAGATGTTCCCCATCCCCCCCCCCCCCCCCCGCTCCAGTGCACGAATGTTGTGCATCAGGCCTCTAGTCTATTATAAAAGCACAGGTGTGAAATAATGAATATTTGGATTATGGTGGCTTTAATGTATGTGGAAGACGATGAGAGTAAATAGATTGGGAAGGGTAGATTACGAAACAGTTAAATATATGGATTGGAACTTCCTCAATATAGAGAGTTATGACAAATGCAAAGACAAGCACATTTTCAAATCAGAGACAAGTGTCACATTAAGAGCTCATCTGTAGTATAATAGTATATAACTCCCAGTATTATTTTGCTCATATAAATGTACTTAGCATAGTGCTTAGAGGTTTAAAGTACTCAATAAATATTAGCTATTATTATTAAGTGATCAATAAAACAATCAAGTATGGAAAATTACATCTTACTCTAAAATATGTTTATTGTTTTATTCATTTATAATAAAAAGTAATTAAAATTCAAATGCTTCAAAAACATATAGTACATACACTTGCAAACACAAGAAACAACTATATAATAATAACAATTTGGAATATATATATATATAATTTTTTCTATGCTCACAGTAACATATTACTATTATTATTATTATTATTATTATTATTTGTATTTATACAAAATTAGGATCATTCTAAGCAACTTCTTCCTTTTTGTAAAATAAAATCTTTTTGAGCTCTTTCTAGAACAGAACATATATAGTTGTCTCATATTCTTTTTAATAATGCTACTTATTTCATTGCATTCAAGTGCCATAGAGAATTTAAAGGACATGGAAAACTAGGTGGAAATTATGGCTCAATAGTGCATATGGTGCCTTTTTATGTATTAGAAAATCAATGTCTGTAGGTAATTACAGCCCTGAAGGTGTATATCTTGATTAGCACATCCTGAACTCTTCAGTTGCCATTTCTGGAGCAAAGTTTCAGAGCCTCACTTGAATGTACAGAACATTTTTATTTCGGTGTAAATGCCAAATGGTCCCACTACACTTTTGTTTATAACAAATAAAAACTTTACCATTGCCACATTAAGCAAGACTTTCAAATTAGTAGTCACCAAACCTTTTGTTTGCTTACCCTCATTAATAAAATATTTGATTCACCCAAGATAAACATAAACGAAAATCAAAACTAACAATGACAAAATAGATACACTTAACATTTTCTTCCTGCATGCTCTGGGAATCAGCACACATGTTATCTCTCCTGAAAGGACTGAGTTCTTGTCATTACCCATTATCTTAGGGCTTCTTTTCTCCATCCAGTTTGCTAAGCTTTCTGGTTGCTAAAAAGCATTTTCTTTATATATTTTAAACTCTTGTTCCACCATTTATGCTTTTTAACATTGTTAGTGTTTAATTCACATGGAACTTATTCTTCCTGTAATTAAAAGTCCATTATTTCTGATATAATATTTAAATTGTTAAACCTGGAACAAACAAAAGGATATGTAAACTTGCTCAATTGCCTCAGCTTATTTTAAAAAGCAGGGAGTTTGTATTAGATTTTTAGCCTGATTTGGAAATGTGTGAATTTGTTTGTGAGTGTAGTGTAAATGTGAATATTATTTTCTTACAAATGTTTTGATAATATATAATTAATTAGATTACCTCCCAATTTTTTACTGGCTTATTAAACAATTCAATAATTGTTGAATTATTTTATTATGCCCACTACTAGTAATAACAATATTGACATTATAAGAATAAAGTTCTAGGAAAAAATCCTCATTAATAAAGTGTATATGTGTGAGAGTGTGTGTGTGTGTGTGTGTGAGAGAGAGTGGGAAGAAAAGAGAGCAATAGAGCTATTAAGCTGTATACACAGCTTAAATTTGTTATTGGTATTTATACATTTATTATATAGTCTAATGACCCAAGTTCACTTGTGCACTAATAACCAAAAGAGGTAAAATCTTCTAAAAAAAAAAAACAAACCCCAAAACTATGTAATACATTCAATAAAGATAAATTTTAAATAAATATCTCTAATATTTAAAAAAAAAAAAAAGGAAAAGAAAAAACAGCTCTTTAAATCTGAGATGATTACAAAATACTTTCTTAAAGTCATGGATTAGATTAAATGAAATGGATTCAATGATGCCACTAAACATGGGCACAATGTTTTTTAGAAGATAAGAAAAATAAGGTCCCGAGGGAAAATATATTTATATCTCTAAAGAATTAACTTCATTTGCAACATTATCTAAGTTTAACAGAAAATTTTCATGTTTTTCAATTTTGGAGCCAAGTTTTGCTTCTCAGAAGGACCGGCATTCTGATTACAGTCTTTCTCAATCCCCATCTCACTAGTTCGAATGCCACTAGCTCTTGCAAAGACTCCTTTCATCTCTCAGCGACAGATCTGAATCACCGGAAATGAGAAAACAAGACTGGCAACCAGTTTCAACAGGCCTTGTTCAGTGGCAGATACAGAATGTAATTTATTCTGGGTGACAGTTTTAATAAACGTGACATAAAACACAAGGGATATCATGTTAGCAATATTGCCCCTCAGAAGAGGAGAAAGGTTGGTATGTTACCTCCTGATTAGCAGCAGCTAGTTCTTCTTCCAGTGCAGAGACTCTTTCTAAAGAAACCCTCAGTCGCTCCCTTACCTGGAAGAAAAACCAAAAATGTGCCGTAATGTACATCCCATCCATGGTAAACTGCTAATCTGTCACTAACATTATCAAAGGCAGTCACAGTTAGCTGTTTTCTCACTATTTATAGTCCTAAGCATTTGGGATACGATGAATACATTGTCACCTCATAGTGCCACGGTGTCAAAAGAGACTTCCTTCTAACTAAGTCCTTTTAGTATTCAGTAGATTTTCCGGTGGGTTTGGAGATTGACCCATCTTGCTCTCAATTCTGATTCATAGTAAGTGAAGGCCAAATTTAAAAGTTTAGTAAGATTTAATGAGGAATATAGGTTAGATAATATATGAAATAGATAAAAACCTACAAAACAATTTTATTTTATTTTTAAATGTGTTTTTGAGAGAGAGAGAAAGAGAGAAAGGGAGAGGGAGAAAGAGAAACATCAATGAGAGAGAACCATCACTGGCTGCCTTCTGCATGCCTCCCACTGGGGATTAAGCAGCAACCCAGGCAACTGCCCTGACCGGGAATGGAACCGACAACCTCTCAGGGCATTGGGATGATGCTCATCCAACTGAGCAACCTGGCCAGGGCCATAAACAGCAATTTTTAAGTTGCAGTTAAAACATTGTTTTCTAATTAGCAAACAAACAAAAAGTACTAGTGTTCTATAAATATAAAATCTAATTTGAAATTTTCAAAAAAATCTCAATATACTTTTATACTGTACTAGTGGCCCGGTACACAAAAATCATGCACATTAAAAGGGGATTAATTACTGAAAATAATTTAATATTGCTATTTGCCCTTTCTCTATAATAGAAGTGTCAGAAATGAAAGAAAATTAGTAAAATGTATATGAAAACCTTCCTCCTGTCAGAGTCTGGGGTGCACCAAGGGACCCAGAGTCAAGTCCCCCCCCACCCACTCACATGCTCCTCAAAATCGTGTGAGACCCAGATCCAGTCGCCCTCCCCCCGTCCCCACCTTATTGGGCTAGATCCAGACCTGGCCAGTTCCATCCTTGTCAAGCCCTGCCAGGCAGGGAATGTAGCTCAGGTCCCCTGGCCCAGCACCAGGATGGGGAAGGGGAGAAGGGTGGCCTGAGGTCTCCCTGCCCAGACCAGGGTGGGGGGGCATGCCTTGAGGTCCTTTGTCAAGCCCCACCTGGGCGGGGGAGGGTGTAATCTCAGGTCCCTGCTGATTGCTTGTTAAGGCTCCTTATGGGAACTTGGCCTAAGCTGTGGGTGCAGCATTCCCTGAGACGGAGTGATGGTCAATTAGCATATTTCATCTTTATTAGATAGGATAATGTTATCTGATATATATTCAGGTGACAACTATCCTAAAATAATCTTAAGTAATAGATAATAAGTAGCCGAAACTGGTTTGGCTCAGTGGATAGAGCACCAGCCTGTGTACTGAAAGGTCCCAGATTCAATTCAGTCAAGGGCATGTACCTTGGTTGCGGGCACATCCCCAGTAGCGGCTGTGCTGGAGGCAGCTGATCGACGTTTCTCTCTCATCAATGTTTCTCACTCTCTATCCCTCTCTCTTCCTCTTTGTAAAAAATAAAAAAAATATATTTATTTTTTAAAAGAATAAGTATATGAGTGGAGATCAACATTAGTTATTTTAGTTATGCTCAAATTCTCTGCAAATTGCTAATACATATTCATAAAAATGGATATTTAATAACAAAGACAATTATGCAGATACTTCATGACATCTAGGTGTACTAGATGGACTGCCAGGTATCAGTTGTTCATATGAACATATCCAATTGTTCATAAAAATGCTATGCTGGTTTGGCTCGGTGAATAGAGCATCAGATCTGCAGAACGAAGATCCTGGGTTCGATTCTAGTCAAGGGCACATGCTGGGGTTGTAGACTTGACCTTCAGTAGTGGGTGTGCAGGAGGCAGCCAATCAATGATACTCTCTCATCATTGACGTTTCTGTCTCTCTCTCCCTCCTTCTTGCTCTCAGAATAAAACTTATTCTGATTAATAACTGAACAAGAGCTACTTGGAAGAAACTTTTTTATGATCTAACTTAGGGAATACTTTTGTATGAACATCTTAGAAAGATTCCAAAGAACAAATATCCCCCAGGCATAAAAATAGGAGGACATTGATATGTGGAATGCAGATATGAATAAAGAATTTTAGTAGTTGTAATTGGTGTTTAACAAGGATGATTATAAAGTTTTATGCCCACTTCCTAAAATACTGCTATGAAGAGGTTAAGATACCATATTTTAAAAGATATATTAATACATTGGAATGATTTTAAGAGTCATCCGAATCCTATAAGAGTGCTGAAACCAGGCTATCCTATAGGTTAAATATTTATATTTCCATTATACTAAGCCTTCAAGAAAACAACATCACCCTTCAATAAATTTACAACAGCATTGAAACTTGATATTACATTATCCATAAAATAATGAATCTAAAGCTGTCTTTACAAGAAAATAATTTCTGAATATATTTTGGATTAATGTTCTAAATGCATACACTGCTGATATAAATATCAATACATTAGATGAATTTTTATTCACATTTATATTAAGATGATTTTGTTCTCTGTATATAATTCACCAAGCACTAATTTCTTTTAAGCTTAGTAAGGAAACAATATGTAGGACAAAAGGTTTAAAGAGCACTCACATTTTACCTTGTGTGCATAGGTGGAACTCCATTGATAGGAAAAAGATAGTATTAGGTCTAGTAATAATTAATGTCGTTTTTAACATTCGTTTAAAATCTTGCTTGGTGTTGACTTGTATTGACATAACCTTCAAACACGTGGTATCTACAGAACGTGTGAAGTGCAATTAACAAGTTTTGCTTGAAAAAGTTTGTGTTTGGTTTGGTTTTTGTTGCAAAACTAGGGCTAAGAAGATGGCGGATGAAGAGCATATTCGGCACTGCATGCTTTATGAGTTCCAATTAGGAAGAAAAGCAAGTGAGGCTGCAAAAAACATCTGTAGTGCTCTTGGTCAAGATGCAGTTAGCGCCAGAAAATGCTAGCGTTGGTTTGAGAAATTTCGCGAGGGAAATTTTTTGTTAGATGACAAGAGTGGTCGAGGCCGTGTGTCCAATTTTGATCAAGAAGCTCTTCAAGCTCTTTTGGTGCAAAATCCTCAAATTACCCAACAAGAGCTTGCGACAACTTTAAATTGTTCACAAAAAACAATTTCCAATCAATTGCGTGCACTTGGCAAAGTCCAAAAGTTTGGAAAATGGGTTTCTCATGAGTTGACAGACAACAACCGTAATCAAAGAGTCACAATTTGCAGTTCGCTCCTCTCTCGTCAAAACCGTTTGCCGTTTTTAGAGCAAATTGTTACCGGAGATGAAAAATGGGTGCTGTATGTTAATTTGAAAAGGCGGCCTCAATGGTTGGACAAAAATGAGGCTCCACAGCCCACGCCAAAACCTGACTTGCATGCGAAAAAAGTGATGTTGTGTGTTTGGTGGAATTTTAAAGGAATTCTTCATTATGAACTTTTACCATCTAACCAAACCATTACAAGTGCAGTGTAGAGTGCCCAATTGGAAAGGTTAGCCCAAGCTTTAAGAGAAAAAGAACCCACGCTGATTAATCGGAAGGGCGTAATTCTTCACCACGATAACGCACGACCGCATACTGCAAGAATCACTGCTGAAAAACTGCGCCAGTTGGAATGGGAAGTTCTCCCTCAACCTGCATATTCTCCTGATATTGCCCCTTTCGATTACCATTTGTTTCGTTCTTTGCAAAACTTTCTTCTTGGAAAAAAATTTAATAATGAAGAATGCCTCAAAAATGCATTGACCGAATTTTTTGCATCAAAATCACAAGAATTTTACAACAGAGGGATTAAAATGCTTCCTGAGCGTTGGGCACAAGTAGTAGAAAACAACGGCAACTATATTGTTGATTAAATTTTGTTGTATTGTTTAAATAAATTCGATTTAAAAAAGTATTAGAAAACGACATTAATTATTACTAGACCAATATATCTGACAAACTTTTTGCCTTTTTGCTCTGCTCTGAGCATAGCACCAACAGGATGCCATAATTACCTTAATTCTTTTTGTTGGATTTAATGTTCTTTTTTCCCCCTAAATATAAGTACACAATTTATAGCATTGGCTCTAAACTTAACTTTATTATTTTTTTTACTAATTGACAGTGTTCCATTAATCAATTCCTGCATAGACTTTACGTTAAGATATATTGATTGCTTATTTAGAAAGGTATAGTATAACCCTCAAAATATATACTTTATGTATGTATGGAATAGCTGATATATAATCTCATTTGTGTTACATCTATATTCTTCATAATGCTATAAAAATAATTATGTGGGGTTTTTTCCTTTCCAGATGATGTTTCAAAGCCACAGAAATTGTATCCCTGGGAATTAAAATAAAATAAATCCCTAAATACAGCAAAAGTGTTTCAGAATGAAAAGAAATTTTGGTGGGATAAACATATATTTAAATAAGTATAGAGTCATGGCAGGATTTCATTTTGGAATTATCCATCTTATAACAACACTATTGTGAGGAAATCTTCAAATAGCAAAAGTTCAAACCCAGTTTTGGTACTGTTATATTAGATCACAGAAATAATGGGGAGTGCAGATATATTTGATATTTTTGCTATAGTTGCCATATATCTATTGATCTTAGCTAAATGTAAAAATCCTACCTTACAACTTGGTGGATGTATGATATGAATAGGGACATTAGTAATGAAGACTGCCAGTCACTGTAATTGTCCATAGCATACCCACGCTTTTATTTAGTGCTTCAGATGTTCTAAACCCTGTATGATAAAGTTGGTAGTTTCTTGCTCTCAAGATACGGTTAATTGCATATTTGATCTTCTATTTGTATTTTAATATAATGCCCATAAATTAAATTGAAATATTGTAATTGCTTTTTTATGTCTTTTTCTGCAGGTATTCCTATCATCATGAGAAGATCTGACCTATTCTTAGATAAATTATCTATGAAGGTGCTTAGGCACATATTAATTCCTCAAAAGCTAAATGAAATATTTATTTTAAATATATATTTTACTGATTTTAGAGAAAGGAAGGGAGAGAGATAGAGATAGAAGCATCAATGAGAGAGAAACATCAGCCAGCTTTCTGCATGCCCCCTACTGAGGATGCAGCCTGCATCCAAAGTACGTACCCTTGACCAGAATTGAACCCAGGACCCTTCAGTCCATGGGCCAGCACTCTATCCACTGAGCCAAACCGGTTAGGGCTGAAATACTACTGAAAACAAGCATGAAGATCAACAGTGATATCTTTACATAGTTTTAAAGTTTTGTCAAAAGCTGAAACTTACTCCTGTTAATAGTAATATTCATTCAACACTCACTGAGCATTTGACACATACTGAGCATGAGCTAAGAGCTTTGCATGTCAGATCATACCTAATCCTCATGATAACTCTCTGAGGTAGGTGTTATTATTCTTTCCTCAAAAAAAGAAGATGCTTAGAGATGACACGTATGCCTGTCTGTCCAACGTCAGAGCCCAAAGTCATGATAGTTTTCCTTTAGGCTGCTGAGCATTACTTAGTTGATAATCAGTTCAGTTGTCCCTAAACTTACTAGTATACAGGACACACCTATTGAGTTATTATATCATATTATGCTTCTGGGGCCATGGTATAAAATACTTTATTTAATTATGCTGAGTTCACTGAACTGATAGTAAATTATTTCTATATTATAGGTTGTACAGCAATCATTTTCCTCTTAAATGTATGCACATCTATCAGATAATTTGTTTTAAATGCTGTTTATTGATTCCTATTTATTCTTTCATAAAAGTATACCTCACTTAAATGATGTATGGTGCTTCTAGAGAGCATCCCAAACCATTCATTCTCAAGAACCTTTATTCAAGTTAGGTTAAATTTCCTCTGAGCAGGGCATGTTCTTTGTATACTTCTGGGTTATATTATATATTGGCCATAGTGTTTAAAGTATCTTTATTTCTCTGCTTAAAAAACCCTGACACATTTTTAATACTCAGATCAAATGTTATCCCCTCTATGAATATATTCATGTCTTCCTTGTCACTTTCTTAAGCAGAATAAGTCACAATTCTTTCTATGACTCCTTATCGCATTATATACATCTTAGTAGTGCCTGTTATTGACATGTGAATCTGCAGTACTAATTATAAACTCCTCAGCTGTAAGAAGAATGTATTATTTATCTTTTTGTGCCAAATATCTGCAAGGAGTCTGACACATAACAGATATTCTATAAAGTCCTGCAAATTCTTAACAATTTACTTTTGTAATAAGAAAAGGGATATAATATGAAACAACATTAAATATATTAAATGATGATTTGATAAGCAATATTTGTTGATATTATGATTATAAAAAATCATCATATAATTTTCATTTTGTTTTATTCAATATTCATATAAGTCACCTCTCAGAGCTAAAATGAAAAATAAAATAATATATTTCTAATTAACTGGAAAATAGAACTATAGTTATTATTATGAATATATTCCACATAATCCCCAGCTCAGAGAACATCTGAAAGACCAATGATAAAAATATATATGTATATAATATTAAATAGAGCAAGAGGGACTGCATGTCAAAAACTAGATATAACTGGGTAAGAATCCCTAGTTTGGATTTTAATGCTCAGAACTTTTCTGATAGCTTACAATGAAGTGACCTAATTTCCACTTTACAAAATCCTAAAGCTTTATTAATTTTAAATGTTCATTCTTTAAAATTTACAAAATGGAAACTATGTCATAAACCTTACTAATCTGCAAAGGATATTATCATCATATTGGCTTATGTCAGTAGAATTTATCTGAGGAACAGCTGAAATGTATGGCTACTTAAAAAAAAAAAAAAGACCTAAAGTAGATTTTCTACTAATACATTATGCTATTATATCCAGAGGCTTAAGAATGTATTTTCAGATCTATGATATTAGAGACCTATAAATATTGTACGGTTACAATATATACCTCAAGATATGCTTAGTTGCCAATTAGTTGTCTCTAATGTTGGCATCAATATATTTATGCATTTCAGAGAGAGGTGGGGCAAGAGGAAATGAAAAAGAGAGAGAAAGAAAAGCTGAATGATAATATTAAATTTCAACTGGCAATAGGGAGTTGGACCATAATATAGCGTAACAGAAGTCTAACTTGAGAAGTCATATATCCAGTGACATTAAAGACATCCACATAGTTATGAATATTACCAATAACACACAGTAATCCTGTTGCATTTATTGAAACTGATTTTCTTATAACTCAAAGTTATTCCTCTGAACTGACTGTTCAGGAGTCAGGAGTGTCATGGATGAAGACAAGGAGCACAGTTGCTGCAATGCTCAGCAAAAGCACAGTTAAGCTGAAATCTTTCGCCATTACTATACTTTGTATTCTTAGTAAAGTTTTTTTTTTAATATAGAAGTAAAGTTGGCATGTAAAATTGTAAGAATCCTTTTCCAATACTGTACCTTTTCATCCAAGGCCTTGTGGTGCTCAAACAAAGATTTCAGTGCCTTGAGAACCTCAACTTCACTGGAAACTCCCGAGGGGGACTGGGCTTGCCGTTTTACCACCGTCATTCTCAGCGACCTTTCGTGTCGTGACACAAGGCACTCCAAATGCTCCAGTAACAGCTGTTGAGTTTAACAGAAAATAGAATTGTCTTATAGCTTTGAGTCATTAATCCTTAAAAATGACTTCTACCTTAAAAGATTGCAGGTATACAAAGTATCTAGTGATAACTTCAGATTCTAATACAGGTAAGTGGCAAAAAGTGCAAACCTGAGTCCAAACCAGTCTTCATAAAATACATTAAAATGAAATAGCATTGCAAGAGGGCATAGAGGGGATAAAAGGTGATGGGGGGGGGGATCAACTAAATTGCATTTCTATTGTATTAAAAATTACTGAATTTAAAAATATAATGTAAATTGCATACATTCTTTTGGAAAATTTAACCATTTGAGTATGGATTCGGTAGAACATAACGTAATATGTGTGACTCACTATGAAAATTATTAAAGAACATTGCACAATGCATGATGGCTTTGTTAATAATGTTTAAAGTCAAAATTAATTCCATTTATATTTGGCTATTTAAATGTTTTTATTTGAAGGAAATGTGCATAATAATCACATGGCTTTAAATGTGATTGTAATGATAATCACAAGTTGTATAGTGATTATAGTAATAATCACAATTACAAGTTGCTATAGTAATTATATAGTGATAATCACTAATAATTTTATGTACAATTAATTCTTAAACTATATCATAAAAATGTATGCTATCAACTGAAATAGAGTAACTAAAATTTGCAATAGTCATTTTGGGAAAAGAGGTTAAAGGACATAATTTTTAAAATCACTTTTTAATTACAGTTGACATGTAATATAGACTGTATATTAATTTCAGATATAAATAATTTTTAAACTGAGTAGTCTAGAACCTTCATTTACCAGTGTGGCCTCTGAAGCCATGATAGAGGTCAGGATAGAAGTTGGGTTGTTTCAGTATGTTACAGACTCTATGCTTTGATTTTTTTCTAGATAAAATTTGCTCTTAAATGTTTCGTGACTTAGCTGGGACCGGTTTGGCTCAATGGATAGAGCGTCGGCTTGGGGACTGGAGGGTCCCGGGTTTGATTCCGGTCAAGGGCATATACCTTGGTTGCGGGCATATCCCCAGTAGGGGGTGTGCAAGAGTCAGCTGATTGATGACTCTCTCTCATCGATGTTTTTAACTCTCTATCTCTTTCCCTTCCTCTCTGTACAAGGGAGTTCTGCCACTAAAAGCAGATATACATGAGAAGAAAATTTTAAAAAATTACTGGATTATCAGTTATTAAAATGTTACTATTGAAGAATAACACATGACCAGTTGGTTTTATAGGAGAGCATTTCAGGATGATGATGGAAGTGTAGGCTAAAAAAACGGTGTCTGTGCAAAAGTAAAGCAGAGGTTACTCAAACAGGATGAAAAAGCAAATAGAAGATACTGGGGTGGAATTAAAAATCCCAGGATTTTTTTCCGAAAACTCACACAGTAATGGAAATTTTTGATTTTTATAATGTCATTAGACTCAGTGACACATATTAGTATCATATTTCTTAATGTTTAAAAAGTTAACTTCTCTACATTTACTGTTTCTAATTATGGTCAGTGTAAAAAACATTGCCATGCCACTGACATAAAGAAACATAAAATCTTGAGATTCTAAACATACACAAATCAGTAGTTAGAGGTCATATTTAAGGGTCAAAATAATAGTAATAGAAATTCTGTATGAAGATGATACAAATATTGATATTTCAATGTTTTTCTTTTATTTATCAACTTCTGATTATATCTATGGTATTCTACTCTTGAATTCTATAGATACATGCCAGAATGTATTAAATCCAATCAGTTTCAGGTAGGTTATGTAGCATTCTATGCACTTAACCTGCCTATTTCTCCAATATCATCTGGTGTTAATCTTTCCCTGGCAAAGCATGCTCTAACCACATATGCCTACTTTTGGATCCTCGATATGCTGAGCCTTTGCGTATGTTGAAACTTCTGCTTGGAATACTTTTCCTTTGGCTCATCACGTGACCAGCTTTTTCTCCTTCTTTATTCTCAATTTAAACATCACCCTCGTAAAGAAACACTTGCTTGATACTCTATGTCTTTCCTCTTCCCAGCCTCCATAGTCCTCTATCTGAATCGCTTGCCTATTTTCTTCATATCATGCTGTATAATTTCTCAAGAACAATTTCACTAAATTTTATTCTATTTCCTCATTAAAATATAAACTCCATGAGGATGGGTACTGTTTATCTCGATTTACTTGATCTCGGTATTTGAATATTGGCTTAGTTCCTGACATCTATATAGATACACAGTAAGTATTTGTTGAGTGGATACATGCAGGTAATACTGTTGTTTAGAATTTTAATATGGAAAAGGAGCTAATAAAAGTTAGATTGTACTGTAGACTTGACAACTGTGGTTGCCCCAAATCTTATGAACAAACCCTGCATATTTAATAGTTGCCCACATTCTGAATGTGTGTCTCAGTAACATAGGATCCAAAAAACATTTCCCAGTCATGGCTACCACTAGGTGGCAGATATGTGACTTAAGAGTCAGCTAGCCAGAGCCACAACATGCACAGGAGGGACTCTGAGGGGATGAGATGAGGAAACGTGATGGACAGGGCATCTGTTTTGCTGGCCCAGGTAGTAGCCAAGGGTGCATGTTACTGGGACTGGGGTGTGAGGAAAATTTACAAGACTAAGAAATGTGGTCCTAGAACTTGTGCCTGGAAGCTCAGTTTAGAAGTTTTTATATACCTTAATTACTAGTGATTTCTCCTAGATTAAAACAGCTAAGCTGTACTCTTATGTGCAACTAGAAACTCTCATCTATACAATAATAAAACCAAATGTATTTTTATTAATATAAAACAGACTCCTTACATGCTTAAATGAACTTATCCTGAATACTCTTCAATACCTAGGAAAATATCCTACATAATGTATGCTTAGTACTTGATGATTTAAATTAATGATAAATATAAATTATCTAGCCTGGATAATGTGGCTACAGATATTCTAATATAGCATGTATCTATAAATTTTAAGCTTACCAATCAAAATAAATTAAAAATAAAAACAACTAATCCAAGATACCACTAAAACTCTGCTAATTGTACCTTTTCTCGAAGCCACACTTTCATATAACACTTAACAAAGCTTGCAGAGGTATACTAAGAAAAATTTCAGGGACTATATGAATGGCCAGTAATCCTATGTTGGAGTTCATTTTAAATGACCACAGCATATATATGTCTACAAAGGAACATGTCATATGTGCATGCACACATATGGAACCATTAGAAATTTTTGAATTAAATTTCCAAAACTATACATATTCATATTAATATCTGAATTTGATGTAACATTGTGCACATTTTCAATCACAAGTGTCATTGAAGTAGAAAGCACCCATATATGCATACATATGTATCTTCACCTGCTTTTCACTGCTAGGGACTTCTTTTTTCTCAATTGGATTGTATTTTATAATCATTGAGAAAATGTCTTTGGAGGAAGTCTATTAACTTGTATAGAAAGATTTTTCAGGAATGGGAAGCTTTTCTTTGGTAGCGGCAGGTGTCTGTATTTGAACATTTATATAATTCCTTTAGATAAAAATAAAAGGGCATAGTAAGAATTTATTCAAATTAGATGTTTAATTTGAATTAAGGACAATTTGGTCTTAGTTTTCGTTTATGACCCATGAGATGAAATTCCAGATTTATTATTTCTGACTTTTGAAAACAAAGCTTTCTTTTCAAAGTTATGCAATCATTACAACCATCCTTTGAGATCTTCAGCCACAAAAACAGTTGAAACAGTTCCAAAGCAACAACAAAAATTCTCCACTCTGAGCCCAGCTGGCATGGCTCAGTGGTTGAGTGTAGACCTATACACCAGGAGGTCAAAGCTTGATTCTCTGTCAGGGCACATGCCCAGGCTGCAGACTGGATCCCTAATATGGGGCGTGCAGGAGGCAGCCAATCACTGATTCTCATCATTAATATTTCCTCTCTCTCCTTCTCCCCTTATCTCTAAAATCAATAAGAACATATTTTTAAAAATTCTCCACTCTGATATTAAGAGATAGTAGCTATATCAATATTTTTTTTGTTTTCCTTTATCTCTTCATTAATTCAGATAATTTAAAAAAGCCTTGTAAATTTTAGTAATCAAATTGAGTAAGTTGAAGTAACATCAGGAATAAATTATTTTCTCTAAATATAATTTTGTCTAAGTATGATCAGAGTTTTAAGAATGACAAGTTTTGTTTAATCACCTTTTTCTATATTTTATTAGTGTTGAAATATTAATCAATAAGGCTTTTTTAATAGTTTCTGTAAATACTTGCTATAATATTTGTACAATCAAGTATAACATTAGGATGCTTTTATTTGGATGCCCTCAATTCAATTACTTGAGGCAGTGGGATTTAAGAGCAACTCTAGTGATTACTTTGATTTTTTCATTCACTCATATTTCGGGGCAGGGGACCAGTTGTTTCTGTAGTGACAATGTGATACATAGCCACAACTTTCAGCTTGGACATCACAATAAATGCCTAGTATATTGTTTTTCTAAAATAAATTACTGAACAGATTAGGAATCAATTACAAACAAACAAACAAACAAAAAACCCAAAACACACACACACACAAAAGAAACAAACAAAAACACAAAACACCCTCTGCTCTTCCCTAAACACAATTTGTCATAGCACTTACGATTTGTGAATGACATAGGAATATGATTTCTTAGATACCTAATAGCCAGTGGTTAAGCTAAGCAGTGGATTCCCTGGGTATGTCACTTAGCAGTTACTTATTATGTTAGTTTTCCCATCAGTTAAGGGGGGAAAGTGGGATTGCGAAAAGGTAAAGTGTGTTAGACATGTGAAACCCTTAGAAAAACATTTTGTACTTAATTAATTTAGTTATTATATTATCATTTTTATTACTTGATGTATTAAGTAAATTTTATTCATTCAACTCCATTTAAAACTTCCATTTTCTATTTGAAAGGAGGTATACTTCATCCATATCAAACGGAGGGCCCCTTTGCTCTATTTTTTTATGATACCCAAAAATAACACAAATAACTCTATCCATTTATGAGTTATCTTTGTAACTGTCTTTTTGTGTTATTTCAATCCATATGTTAACTACTCAAGATAAAAGGACAAGTTTATGAGAACCATGGGAATTAACCAGGCAATTCTACTTTAAACTTTCTCACAATCTAACACCAATCAAAAGTTTTTGCAGGTGTGAGAAGAAAATACTAGCTTGTTTCTTTCTCTAAATGACCAATAAGTAGGTGTTTATAACAAGGGGAAAAACACAATATGTAGAAGAAAATGATTACATAAAATCTATAAAACTGTTAAATTTAGCAACACTTAATAGGGCATTATGAAAGAAGAAAGAGCTATGGCTACTTTTCAGCCGTTTATATTTTTGTGTGATGAAGAAGGTCAGAGGTGGTTATGTAACTTGTATAGTTACATATGACTTGTATAGTTGTCATATAATCAATACTTTACACAAGGAAGACTTCATAAATTCATTTTTCTTTGACATAATCAACAACAACAAAATCCTCTGTACAACCGATTTTAAGAAAAGTAGAAAAATATTTTCTAGGTGGAGGAGGGGTGAAAAGTAAAAGAGATTAAGAAGTGCAAATCACCAATTATAAAAAAAAGTCAAAGGGCTGAAGGGGATCTATATGTATAAAAGGTTAATAAGCTAAGTGTCTGTGTGACTGGTTGATATGATGTACACTTACCATAGGGGGCAGACACTCAACACAGGAGCTGTTGTGACATGCACTGACCATTTACAGAAAAATGACACCATGGACCTGTGCCCACAAAGCAACACTTGGGCTTCCCCCAAGTGAGACACAGGCCCGCCACCACCCTGGAGCCACAGCTCACCAAATTGTAGCCAACTCTGCCAAGACCCTATGGCACAAAATGTGGCCCACAGTCCAGCCCAGCCCAGAAACAGTGGTTGTGGGTGCCGAGTAATGTAGCAACTCCTGGCTTCCTCTCCCTCAAGACTAGCCTCCTGGGAGTTTCTTCAGCCCAGGAACATGACTTGCTTTATAGCCAGGTGAAAACACTTTACACTGTAACCAAATGTCTGTGAAGTATTTTCCCATACCTCATCTCATTTGATCCTCACAGAAGCCCTCAAGTAGGTAGATAGGAAAATCAGTGGAATCCTATTTTTTTTTTTTTCATTACCTGGAAAATGGAGATTTACTAGTAGAAAACTTAGAAACTTGACCCAACTGAAAAAAAAAAGTAAGAAATGGTGGACTTTGGAAATAACTTCACATTTCCTCACTGCGCAGAATATAGTCAAACACTGCTGCAGTTAAAATTTTACCCTGTTTCTCCCTGCGTGATCTACAATAATAATCTGCTCCATGTTGCTATTTACTGTTGTGTTGCTGACAATTACCTGAAGGAGAAATTGGGGTACCTCACTAGGCTGGAAAAAGTTTAGCTAAATCAAAAGCAGGTCTAATTAAGCAAGTTTATTCTATCTATAATAATAAAAGTGTAATAAGCTAATTAGATCAGTCGTCTTTCTGGATGACCTTCTAGAAGAAGCTGGGCTATGAGGTCTGAGGATAGCCATTGTGGCTGCAAGCCTCCCAGTTGCGAGGGCTGAGCCCCTTGCATGAATTTCGTGCATCAGGCCTCTAGTATAGTCAATAATACTGCACTACCTATGAATGGTGGCAGATGAATACTAGACAGATTCTAGTGATGACTTCTTAAGGTACATAAATGGCTAATCACTAATTTGTACACCTGAAATTAATATATTATTTGTATGTCAAAATAATTTTAAAAGAAAGAAAAGAAAAACATTCTCCAGGTTTATCCATGTTTTCAAAGTAACTATTATTCATGTTTAAAATTAATGACTTCAATTTCTGCTGTCCTAATGGAACTTAATATTTATATTTTGCTCACATTGACTCCTGAATAGGTATTTCCAATATAGTTTGCCTTAGTTCTTTTATTATCCAAGTTCCTTTGCAGATACAATAATCACAGGTACTTTTGGACCTCTTGGGATATACTATGGTGAAAACTGTGTGGATGCTGTCCCCAAACCTCCCAGTTCTCTGAAATTAGTCACAAGTAACGAGAACTGACACACTCCATACTGTAGTGATTAATTCTTAGGCAATGTCTCATATAAGTTGTAGTAAACCTGGGAGTTTTTTCATGGATTTAACGAGTGATTATGTTGAAGGCCGTATGGCCCAGGGTACAGCTCTGGAGTTATTCTGCTTTATTTTCAAACCCCTTATCTGCTATTTATCACTGCGTGACTTCTGGCAAGTTATCTGCCCTTTTCTGAGCTCCGCTGACTCATCTGTAAAATGGAGATAATTATAACATCTCCCACATAGGGCTGTGGAAAGGAGTCACAGTGATGTGGACCGAAAGCCTACATAAAGCAGAAATACGTACACCACCAATAAGAGAGTTTCTGTGCATTTTAAAGATGAGAAATAGTTGAAAGCTACCTGGAGGTTTGCATCTCCCTCCATTTTCAGCTTCCGGCTCCTACTTTTTCATTTGGGGTATCTTGCTACATCAGGGAATGTAGCCAAAAGTGTTAAAATAGAGAGCAGTGAAACAGGGCAGAATAAAGCTTGTGGCAGAAATAAACTTTAAATTTGGGTGGGAAAAATACAGTGTAACTTAAAAGTCAAGGGCGAGGCAACATATACAAGGAGAAAGAAAAAATTAACCTGACCCCTAAATAACATGATTTAAACTTCTCATTTTGTTCTATTTGGAGCAGTCAGTCCATGAGACTGGCTCATCAAAGTCGCAATAAAAAACAGTTTCTGTGTGCATACCTATAAGACAAGCCCCTGATGAATAAGGAGATAAACTGTATCCGATCATATAACCATTGTTTATGCAGCGCTATCTCTCATTAGAGCACTCGCTCACTGTTTATGAAGCTATAATTTTTATATTGCTCTTAAGACCAAGCATAAAATGAACAAGTACATTAACTATACCTTGCTTTCTCAGCCTTAATCTGTTAGAACTCTAACATTTAAAAAACTTTTCATCTACTTTACATAAATTTGAACTATATCACCAAAAGTATTTTTCTCTGTTTATTAGTAAAATAGCTGCTCTCATTTATGTAATTTATGTATTTTATTAAATTTAGTGACTTCATAACTAGAAAAGACGGCATCTTTAATCACATTTGGAACTTGAATGTTAAATGTCATGAGATTGAAACAATACATGGGTTTCCAAGAGGAGACTATAGTATATTCCATCAGTTTCCAAAACTCAGAAATCAGAAATGGAAGTCTCCATGACAATCTTCTAAAACAGAAAAAGTTTGTCTCTTTTAACTTGCGGATTTCTGTTCCAGTGGTTTTACATTTTAAAACTTTAAAAAACATATAAATAAATAACTTGTTCTGTGAGGTAAGGCCTGTGCCACAACACTCCCTCATATTACCTCACAATTGAAACTCCACCCCCACCCCCAACCTTCCCCTGTGCCTATCTCCAGCTTCTGAGGCACTGGGTCTCCCACTCCAGTATAACACTCTGAAAGTTGAAATTCTGTATTGAAACCCAGCCTTTCTTTTTAAAATTGAAGAAAGCAAAAGGACAGGGGACAAGGACATTTTCTAAGGCAATGTAGTGATTTAGTAGCCAAAACTCTAATTTAGGTTTCCTGTCTTCCTGTTTTGAGTTTTGTAGTATATTGTCCCTTACTTTAAATAACGGACTGTAAGTGATGCCTGCTTAAAGTCTTCCTGAAGTTTTCAAATATTTATTTTTCATGCACATTTAAGAGATAAAGCACTGAATTATATATGGAATCAATTTCAAGCAGGGGCAGTTTTATACTTACTCTTGTGTTATTTCTTTCAGCTTTAAGTTCAGAAATTTCTTCTTCCTTTTCTAGAAGTTGTTCCCTACATGCATTTAATTCTTTTGTCAGTGCAGCAAATTCCTGAAAAGGGAATAAAACGTATTTGAAGACACATTTCAGATTAAGAAAAAAAAGAAAAAAAGATTTCAACATACATTAAAAAGTCAAAGTCTAATCTTTTGAATGTAAAGAATGGGAAAAAATGACTCAAATGATTAGCTCTATAAACTAATAAAAAGAATAATATGCAAATTGACCTGCATTCATCATGCCCACCAGCCAATCAGGAGTGAGTATGCAAATTAACCCAACAGACTTGGATTGTTAATTTGCATATACAGACATTAAGTAGCCAGGGGTGGGACACTTGCACTGTTGCCATGGAGACGACACAGCTATTCCACACTGCCTCAGCTGCTTCAGGCCTCTGGGCAATGTGGGTAAGCAGAAAGGCGGCTCCAGGTCAGAGTGAAAAGGAAGCTCTGGCAAGAGCAAAGGAGGTGCCAGCTGCCAGGGGGAAGGAAGGCCCATTTTTGCATCAATCTTTGTGCATTTGGCCTCTGGTATCTAGTGTGTGTGTGTGTGTGTGTGTGTGTGTGAGTGTATACGTATGTGTATATTATTAAATTAACCTGATTCCAACATTCAAAAAATTTGAATCCATTATATTTAACATACATATTTTATTTTAGTATGATGCTTAGATGAATGGATAAAATATATTTCAAAATGTATCAGATATATCATACTGAACTTAACATTAGTATGATAATGTATTAATAATATAGAAATTTAAATTTGGCTAATTTTGTTAACCACTCAAAAAATTCTTACACTTTTATTCCTATAGGTATAGAGCAATGTTGTGACTGGATAATCAAAAAACACACAACAAAAATACCGCCACCAACACCAACCAAAAAATTCCTACTAACTTTGCTCTTTAGACATTAAAAAGTTCATTTACCCATTAACAAGTTGAAGAAAGAAAATGTTCTACTTACAAAATAACAAGTGGACATAAGACTTGATAACATTATCTAATAGTCTCTTACTAATTTATACATAGCTTTCCTTCTTAATCGTAAGCTCCATATGAGATGGGACTTTGACTTCACTGCTACACTCCCAACATCTAAAACGTAGTGGGTGCTTAATTAATATTTATTTTAATAAATAAAAATGAGTCACATTATGAAATTTTGGAAGTTTTAGAGTATTCCTCTGTGCAACAAATGACACTTTGGAGGAACCTTCAGTGTCTGCCTTCCCCCAAATTCAATCAGACGGTACTGAGTGGGGCAAAAGCAGGTTTAGATTTAGAGTCGTGAGCACAGTACAGGAAACACAAAGTTCATTCTTGTATTATTACTTATTGATTATTGCATTACTTTTCATTCAAACAACTGTATGTAATATGAACAATTTTACAACAAAGCAGTTTAGACACAGTAAAAATTACTTTAAAAGGAGATTAATAAATCTAATTTGCCTATTCTGCTACTCTTTAAGTAGACATCGTTTTAAAATATTTTTGAAAAATAATAAACAGATCGATATTATCATTCAATAATTTAGAGTGAGTCTTAGTAATAAAACTGGTTCTTGTCAAATAGTTAAGTATTTGGAAAAACTTAGCTTCAGATTGAGAAGGCACTGTCAGAAGTTTTTTAAAAAAAAAAAATGGGGTAAATATGTTTGGTTAATGTAACCTCCACAAAGGCAAATTTAGTATAAAGTAAACGAATGTGCTGATTATACAAAGCCCTGGGAAAGGTTGAGGGTTTATATTTTTGCTTGCATCAAACTGCTTATTTTGCTGAATTTTTCTGAGTGGCTTCAGCCCAAGTGAGCAGTTCAAAGCCATTAGAATAGAAGGAGAGGTTAGAATCAAGATGAAAGAGTCCCCTGTTCCATTTGGGCTGGCCTTACATATAAAAGTTTCCCCCCCCCCTAATTACTGCTGCTTAAATGCTGTTGATATCCTCTGATATGTTATTTAACTGTAGGATGGAAATAAACAAGTAGAAAACAATAACATAATAAACATTCACATAAAAATTAAGCCTTTGTATAAACTGCATACTTTGATAGAGAAAAGAAGAAAGAAACAAAGGTCCTGTATTGTATATTATTAACATACTAGAGGCCTGTTGCACAAAGATTCGTACAAGAATAGGCCTTCCTTCCCCTTCACTCCCAGCCACTCGGGAACCTGCAAGCTCTTGCTCCTGGCTGCCTGGGAGTTTGCAAGTCCTCGCTTCTGGTGGAGCACCACTCTTGTAGCTCCCTCTGCCCCTTCCTCTCCTCCTCATAGCAGGCATCCTGCCCATCCAACTCTGCATGCCTGCTTATGCAAATTAACCTGCCTTCTTTGTTGGGTTAATTTGCATAGCCACTCCTGATTGGCACCATGGAGGTATGGTCAATTTGCATATTTCTCTTTTATTAGTGTAGATAGTCATTTAGCCCTTTCATGGTTTGGCTCAGTGGATAGAGTGTCAAGCCCCAGGACTCAAGGGTCCTGGATTTGATTCCAATCAAGGGCATGGAGCTCAGATGCAAGCTTGATCCCTGGCAACCAATCAATGTGTCGCTTTCACATGGATATTTCTCTCTCTCTCTCTCTGTCTCTTCCCCTCCCTTCAACTCTCTAAAAATCAATGAAAAAATATCCTCATGAGAGGATTAACAACAACAAAAAAGATGCAAATATATAGTCACTTAAATGTAATCCTATGCTCATGAATATTATGATAAAACAGAAATCAAACATAGCCATTTTAAGAAACATATATTTGGGTAGATCTTTCTGGAGATTTATCTTGCTATATACCAAAAGGTTAAAAAAACAACCAAAAGAAATTGAATATTTCCAGGTAGTGAAATACATGATTTTTTAAATTTCTTCCTATGTATTTCTATTATCAAACTATCTGCAATGTAGAAATACACTTTTATGTATAAAAAATAAGAGAAAAATATAACTCTGCAAGTGCATTCAGGTATTCAAAACTGAGTGATGAAGTATCAATGTAGGTTCATCAATTGTAAGAAATGTACCATGACAGAAATTAGTCAAGATGCTATTGGTGACAGATGGCTTTTCATTTTTTATTTATTATCATGGCACTGGTTATGAGTAAGTTATTTAGTGATTCCATGTATTCAAATTAGACTTACACTTATTGACTTCTTGAATATTTCAGGCACTACTTTCACATTCATTATTTCATCTTGCTTTCTAATAACCAGTGAAAGAATCTCATTCCTATTTTATGGTGGAAGGAACTTGATTACTAAGAATTAAATTCAAGATCACAAAGCAAGTCATAGAGAGTGAGTTAGGCCATGAACTTGGTTCTCCAGACTGTTTGTCCAGTGCTTTTCCACTATACCATTTTAACTTCAGTTGTTCATTGGGTTTATATGATTTAGATCTAGGGTGCATTTAGCAATACTTTTTTTCTTATCTGAAGAATTAGATAACCATTACTTACAATTACATTGCATGAACCTTCTTAATTAGTTCAAAGGGAGGGTGGGAAACTAGGAGACCCAAGGCAAGGTACTCCTTCCGTTGAGAGGAATAATTATTAGAGAGAATATTCTGCATATCTAGGATTGCTATAGATGCAAATACTTCACATGGAGTTAATTATCAAATGATTTTAGACCTTCCCTCTGATTTTTTTCTCTATTCTACCTATTTTTCCATCCATACTGTGAATAATTAAGTTTTTATATAAACTTTTATGAAATAATATCAGAAAATACAATTAACATGGATTGATATGCCCAGAACTCTGCCAAGCAATTTATATAGATTATCTAATTCTTCCTAATAAACCCCAGAAAAATACAATATCTCACTAAATAAAACTATATATTCTTATCAATCTCATACCTTGTATTTACCCCAAAGAGTTGAGAACTATCTACACAAAAACCTGCACATGGGTGTTTATAGCAGCTTTATTCATAATTGATAAAACTTGGAAGTAATCAAGTTGCCCTTAGGTAGGTGAATAGATAAGTAAATGGTATTATATCCAAACAATGGAATATTATAAAATACTAACAATGAAATGAGCTATCAAGCCAGGAAAGAAACATGGAGGAGCACTAAATGCATATCACTTAAGTGAAAAAGAACAACAACAATCTGATGAACTCTACATTCTGTATGGTTCCAACTACATGCCATTGTGAAAAAGAATCAAAACTATGGATATAGTAAAAAGATTAATTGTTGCTAGGATTTATATGATGGTGGGTGGATAAATAGACCAAGTACAGATAAATTTTTAGGACAGTATAATACTCTGTATGATAGCATGACCATAGATCATTACCATAGATCATTATACATTTTTCAAACATGTAGAATGTACCATAATGTAGAGTGAACCATAATGTGAACTATGAACTTAAGGTGATACTGTGTCAATGTAAGTTCATCAATTACATATAAAAAATGTACCACTCTAATGGGGGATATTTTTTAATGAGGGAGACTATGCATGCGTGGTTAAAGGAGGTATATGAGAAAGCTCTGTACCTGTCCCTCAATTTTATTGTGAACCTAAAACTGCTCTAAGATTATACATTTTCTTTTTCTAAATCTCATTGAAGCATAGAGAAATTAAGATATTTCCCTGAAGTTAGATACTTAGTCAATGGTGTAGCTGGACTTTGAACCTAAACAATCTATTTCATTCTACGTGATGACAATACTAGTACATTGTTGTTGTTTTTCTTCCTGATCATGAGCTTTCTCCTTCTAATTTGACCATTCTGTCATTGTAAAAATTATATATTTTTTCAAGATCACAGAATTTTTCAGAGCTTCCTAGTTTTAAATACATAAAAGTTAAACAGACTTTAAAGGATCCAGGGACATACAGGAAGGGACTAAATTATCTGACATCAGAACATAAACTCGGGGAGAGGGACGCTTTCCCTTGGAAAGGGGTGCATCCTTATGGCTATCAGTTGATTTCTCAACAGAAGCTTTGTAGACCAGAGGTGATTTGCAAGAAATAATCAAAGTGATGAAAATCAAGGTCCTACAACCAATA